GCCTAGCATTAGCAGCAGCAGCTAACATTTATTGAGACTTTCTTATGTGAAAGGCACTGTGCTAAGTGCTTCCCATGTATCAGTTCATTTCATCTTTACTTCAACACACTAAAATATGTATTACTATCTCCCCCATTTTACAGACACGGAAACTGTGGCTCAGAGAGGTTAGGGAACTTGTCCAAGGTCAAACAACCAATAAGTGGCATGCCTAGTAACTCAAATCCCGGCCTATTCAATTCCGAAGTCCATATTTTTATTCTCTATACTAATTAAGAAATAGAAGAGATTGCGATCGGAGGGGGGCTTCAGGGAATATCTGAAATTCCACCTCCTAGAACTTTCAAATTGACAAAAATGTTGGCCACACAGCTTTTATGTAACAGGGATTCTGAGTGAAGCAGCAGCTGCACAGGAACTCTGGGAATGGGCACGTAAGCCATTTTGATACATCCTGGGAATTAAAATCCTAATAGTCAATATTGGGTCTCATACCCTGTGCCAGTACCTCTTGGTACAGAAGCTGCCCATCAAGAACCACTTTTCCCACTGAGTTATTTCTTCTGGAGACATTCCAAAGACTACATGCCTTTCTAGCCTTTGACTAAATGGCTCACACGGAACCCAGCTCCCCAGCATCCCAGTGTCGAACCCTCCCAGATAGTGTCAGAGTATATTTTTTTCCCCAGGATGACAGCTTTTCAGGCCAAATGATTAATGAAATGTGGGCCTAAACAGCCACCAGGTAAAGACCTTATTTAAGACATAACAACCAAGGCTGTCCTTTGTTCCAAGAAGACAGCCAAACTGCTCTCTATTCCTATTCAAGTGTTTTCCTATCAACAGTTAAAGGAAAAAGAGAAAACCCTAGCATCATATAACAGAAAAAGAAATCATTAAAATGATGGCCAAAAGGTGAATTATTGAGTGAGCTACTTTGCACTGGGTCTAGAAACTTGAGAGAAGGGGGAAAAAAGGAGCTAAAATGTATTTTAATTTTCTGAAGAGCAGCCCTTACCCTAGCTAACAGTGAAGGAGTGTCCAGTTCCCTACCAACCAGTGCTGAAGGATCCTCTCCCTTGGTCCAAGGCCCAGCCCAGGTTCCTTCCCCAAGAAGCTTGCGGGTTAGTAGGTTCCAGGCCTGGTACATCTCCCAGATGTTGAGGCAAGAGGAGCCCATTTAACTCCAGCTGTTAATGAGAACCCACCTGCACTAAATTCCCTCTAAAACACAGGAGAAGAAATGAAGACATTTTGTCTTTCCTTAATAATATGCACATTGGCTACAGAGCAGGTGTGTTGGCTCTCAGAGTGCAGGAAAGAAAGAGTGGAGTAGAAGGAGAGTGGAGAAGGGAAAGTAGAGAAAGAAGTCCCATTTCCTCCACTCGCTTTTCTTTCAGAATCCTGCCAGGAAGGGATTCAATTTACTTTTCCTGGGTAACTCATAAAATCCTGTGGTTGGCTCCTATGGTAACTTTTCTAGGTTGCTCCTGACAAACACCATCTGAGAGAAAGTGAAGGGCCTAAGATGGAGCCCCACTTCTCAGAGGGAATCCATATATTTCTAGCTCCTGTTTTAAGGCAACCAATGGGATTAGTTAGGAACTTACTGTGCTTCTGCTTGAAAATGGGAGGCTTTCTCTTGATTCTAGAGGACTAGGCAGTGGTTCTCAACCTTAGCCCCTAGAAGACTCACTTGGAGAACTTGTTAAACCTAACCTAAGACCCTTTCCCTGATATTCTTTTTTTTGTGGTTTTTTTTTTTTTTTGTCTTTTTCGTGACCAGTAAGGGGATCGCAACCCTTGGTGTGGTGTCGCCCGCACCGCGCTCAGCCAGTGAGCACACCGGCCATTCCTATATAGGATCCGAACCTGCGGCGGGAGCATCTTTTGTGGTTTTTTTTTTTTTTTTGTCTTTTTCGTGACCAGTAAGGGGATCGCAACCCTTGGTGTGGTGTCGCCCGCACCGCGCTCAGCCAGTGAGCACACCGGCCATTCCTATATAGGATCCGAACCTGCGGCGGGAGCATCGCTGCGCTCCCAGCACCGCACTCTCCCGAGTGCACCATGGGGTCGGCCCTCCCTGATATTCTTATTCATTAGGTCTTGACGTGTCCCCAAAATGTGCTTTGTCAACACTCATTCCTGGTGATTTTGATCCTGGGGGGTTCTCAGACCATATGCTGAGAAATACTGCCCAGAGTTCCAGAGATTGTATAAATAGTTTATTTAATTCACTATTTAAGTCATAAAATAAGCACATACTCTATTCTCATATAAAATACTCAAAACCCAATGGCAGATATCCTCTTGGGGCTGTTTTGAATCACACGTCTGAGCTTGAACTTTGTAGTCAGGTAAGGATAATGCTTGATGGCTTTCCTCTCTAATTTTTAACCCAATCTTGAGGATAGCTATGGGTCTATATTTAGATCAATGCCCAGAGATTCCTTAATGAGAGTCAAGCAAGCACAGGGAGGCTACTGGCTGTTATTAAGTTTGATGGACTCTTGACTTAGGCTGTGATTGGGGACGGATAAGCTCTCTCCTGAGCATACCCAATCCAGAAATTGCCAGATTTTTGCTGAGCCTGATTTTTCTGTTATAGTATAGAATGAGTTTGACTAAAGTAAACAGTGCTTTTGTCTGCAATTTTTATACCACAAGGTTTGGGATGCCAACTGAATTGAAAATGGTTTTAATTAAATATGTATTTACTTGCTGCCTAGCTATCGTAAGTTCATGCAAAGCAAGTTGCATGGTTTCCTTTTAGGGTTTCCAGATCCACAGACCTCCTTGTTTCTCCTTTTACCTTTTGGCGGGAGCTAGTGAGTCTGAGGAAGAATAACTAAAACGATACAGGGGATATAAGAGCTTGCTCTGATGATAATTGAGAAAGTCAACATCTAGCAGAAGCTTTTAACATAATTAATTCACCAGTTCAAAAACCATTTATTGAGCAACTACTATGCACCAAGCACAGTTCGAGGTGCTGGGGATACAGTAGTAAATAAAACAGATGAAAACCCTTCTTCGTGGAGTTTATATGATAGTAGAGGATATGGACAATAAATATGATAAATAAGGAAAATATATAGTATGTTAGACAGTGATAAAAGTGACAAAGAGAAAAACAGTTTAGGGAAGGGGATTATGAAGTGTCAGGGCTAAAAGTTTTAAATAGGTTGGTCATGGAAAGCCTCACTGAGAATACGGCTTTTGAATCAAGACCCGAAGGAAGTGAGGGAGCTAGCCACATGGACATGTGGGAAGAGCATGCCTAGCTGGGGGAGCAGCAGAGGCCCTGAGGGGAGAGCATGCCTAGAGTGTTTGAAGAACAGCAAACCAGCAGTGTGTCTACAGAAGATGGTAGGAGATGTGGTCAGAGAGACAACAGGGGTCCAGGTCACGTGACAATGTTACCATTCTTTCTCAAAACACCAGAACTATAAGACTACTCTGAAGCATGAAAGAAGTTCAAAACAATAAAACCAGATCTATTATTCTATACACCGACTATCGAGTTCATAATTCCAAGAGATAATACAAGCCAAATAGATAATATCAGGAAGAAGTGTTATATAAATTCATGATGACAGTTGCATATAGAAGTTAAGGAAGGCTTAGGACCACTGCTAATTTTATGTGATTGATCCCACAAAGGACAACTGTAGAATTCTTCTCCCTTTCCCCAGAGTCAAAAACAGAATGATGAGCTGAGTTTACCATCAGCCTGACTCATTAGCACCATGTTAAGTCCCGAGGCTTTGGAATCACAGGCTATAAAATGACCATATTTGGAACCAAGATAGTAGCTAAGGTTATCACTGGATCAACATACAGTGGTAGTGGGAACCATGAAGGCACATGAAAGCTACAAATACCAAAGGCATTCCTTGTACTGTGCAAAGCTAGTTTGAAAAGAACTTAGCAAGCAAACACAAATGGAAATTCTGTCTACCTGCTAAATTACATCATTTACTACTGGTGTTCAGGAGAGAGACACCTTTTCACCTGGTCTTCAAAGGGGCTTCTACGGGACCGGCCTGTGGCTCACTTGGGAGAGTGCGGTGCTGATAACACCAAGGCCACGGGTTCGGATCCCATATAGGGATGGCTGGTTCGCTCACTGGGTGAGCGTGGTGCTGACAACACCAAGTCAAGGGTTAAGATCCCCTTACTGGTCATCTTTTTAAAAAAAGGGGGGTGCTTCTGCTAACACAGAAATCTGAAGCTTCATAGGAATGGAATGACTCCGGGGTGTCTCTTGGAGATGTGGAAAATGCTATGTCTAGAAGCCCAGAGCAGACAATTTTGAAGCTCCTATAGAGAAAATCCAACTAGGTGTTCCAGACAGAACCAAAAAGTTTGGAGAGACAGAGGCCAGCCATAATGATGACAAGGTTACAGGCTTCATCCCTACCCTATTGGAGGTGGGAACACTCAGCTCCTCAGGGTCCCCCCATCATCCTTGCACCCATGAATAGTAAATATAAACGAAGGTAGTGTGCTGTCTATGAAAACGCAGCTTGCAAACATGATTTCTTCCAACCTGATTTTCTTCTTTCTACCCAACCCTCCAGTGTAGAAACCCCAGATCCCTGCTGGGTTTCACCAACACAGATTGTGCCTCTCATCCCAGCCAGATGTGTTCCTGTCAATAAGAAAGGGATATGACAAGAGAATATGCAAACCCTCTAACCTTATAAATTCCATTAAGCAGTTGTGTTCCTATCCTGAGGGCAATGAGGCACCCCTGAATGCTTTCTAAGCAGGGAAACAACCCAAACTCCTTTCTGTTTCTTGTTTTCATCTGCAAGGGAACCACTAGAAGTATGCAGCTTGCCTCCAATGAGCTTATTGACCAAAGTGTAGGAAAAAGGGACAGTAGTTCATGAAGGATTTCTTCTTTAGGAATTCTTTAGCCAGAGGAATTTCCAACTTTTGAGACCAATGACAGCACATGGGTTGACGCGTTTATTTTCTCCCACTCTCTCCAGAGCTTCAGTGATTTAGCATCTGGACCCGATTACTCACAGTCCTCGACTGCGTTTGCCGGGCTTGCCTCTCCCAGGAGCACTCAGCCGCCTGTTGGTTTCAGCACCCCAGCCATCACCCAGGGCTGTTTGGATTCTTCAGCTGCTAGACACAAGATAGCTTTAAATCCCCAGAAGAAGAAGAACCTTTGGGCAACTGTAAGTCCTTCAAGAGACCCGAGAATAGGCTTCTGTATATATATTTTTAAAAGACGAGTTCTAATCTTTGCTAACTGCTCCTAGGGAAATGGTATGGTTTAGGAGACCCATAACCTAAGCAGGGACGGCAAAGTCGAGGGCACTGTTCTGGGCTTGACACCCCCAGAGGGGTGAGCAAGCTTGCATCTATTGGATAGGGTGTCCTATCCATTTGGGACTAAAGAAAGCAGAAACAGTGACTTAAACTGCCAGAAACTGCTTATTGGCTTAGTGTCGGGGAATTCACTCAGCCCTCTTTGTAGAGAATATTCAGTCGTAGCCGAGATCAAGATTCTTTTAGTTATTAATCAGATGATTAATAAGTTACAATTGCATCACTGTTCCACTTATTTGGAGGTCAGGGTTCCAGCAACTCCAAACATTCAGAACTCAGCTGTTAACCCCTCCAAAGATCTCAACATAGATATCATAAAGTGCTGCCACATGACTTTCTAGCAGGCAGAGCTATACGTAGGCAAACCTACTATGTTTAAAACATGGCTGCAGATCAGACCTGACAGCAAAGAGAAGTGACAGCTGATAGTTAGAGAGATATGATAGAAACAATCTGGGGTCATTTAGTATAGAGAGTCAAGAACCTTGTCTACTTCAGTAGGTCCTTCAGAGCCACACTGTATTGTAGTCCAATGTAATAGATCATGTTCCTTATTTGTCTGCATCATTAAGAAAAGGTGGATTGTATTCCCTGATCCTTGTTTAAGAAGATAGGAAAGTAATGCTTTATGGAAAAGAGTTTCACTAAAAGTTAAGAATTAGAAGATACTGATGTTTAAAATGATGTGTCAGTTAGCTGGAAATTTCACCTTGGTCAACACTCAATTCTCCAGTGATTCTGGGCTAAAAGTAAGAGGCTGTCCATCAGAGCTGGAAGAAACTAAAAGACTGTGTAGTACAAGCATTTTATAGGGAAGGCCATTAAAGCACAAATAATTTAGGTACTTGTCCAAAGTCAAACACCCAGGTGGTGGCAGAGGTAGGGCCAGAATCCAGGTTTATGACTTCCCGCCCAGTACTTTTTTCATCTCACCATGTTGTGTCTAACTTAGACATCTCGATTTCACTTTAGAATGTGGAGGAGCAAGGGGGCCAAGGGAGGTCTTCCAGTGGCCTTGAAAGGATCTCCTTGGTTTGGTATCAAGCAAGGGGTGACCAATTACTAGGTGCTAAACACTATACATGCATTATCCCCTGGACACTTTACCACAAACCTGGGAGATGGGGAATGTTGGCTAAGGGAAACAGTGCGACCCTTCTGACTTTCTTCCTTCTGCATAGTCTAATGGGAAAAGGGCCTGGGCTGCATCCTCTCAGACATCTACTTCTTCCTGTGACTCTCTCCCTGACACATGGATTAATATAAAAAGGTCCAGGATCATTTATGACATAGGGGCTGCTACCACTTCCTCCCTGCTCTGGAATTTCTTAAATCTATAAGTCCAATAGGAGGTTTCTCCTCATCCCTAATGTATAGATGTGGACATGGAGATTCAGAGAATAACTTGCCCAAGGCTATACAGTGAGGAAATGATGGAGACGAAATTCGAACCCAGGTCTATCTGACCTCATTTACTCAAAAATAAATTATTTTGAGCTGAGTCTGTTTGCACAGGCACTTCAAGTGAGAGTATAAAGAATTGTATGTTTGTATTTAGATGCATGCCATAAAGGGCTTACACTAAGCAAATTCTGGACACCGATCAGTTCAGTGCCACTCTGACATTTCCAGAGCTGCACAGTAATTATTTGAAAACCTTGTTAATACTAAACCAATCTCAACCAATTCAGTGTAAGGGCCGAACCATTCATCTTTTTCTCTTCCCTCCCAACAAAACGCCAATCCTCTTTTTTTATTTTTTACCAGAAAAGACATAATTTAAGCTTTCACTAGCTTCCCTGTAAAGAAGCCTGACAGGATTTAAATTTGACTCACAGTTCCAGTGAAGCAGAACTCAGAATTTCATGGTTGCCAAGGTCATGATTATTGTCAGGCCCAAAACCACATCTTCAAATGTATGTCCTTCCAGTGTGGTTCAGTAGTTTCCAGGATGTTGAGAGAGATCCCTAGAGCATGTCACCCAGAGATTAGGAACTCCAAATCTGGATGAATCACTTCCAACAGGTAAAATGATCCCTAGGGACTTCTTGATGGATGCCATTGGAAATAACTTCCATTTTTAATGGAGTTGTTACACACTCAGCATCAAGGGCTTTTTTCCTGATGTTCCTTTTTTTCTTTGACAACTATGCAGGGATGGGTGGAGAGCATGTCAGTCAGATTCAAGCTCTTTCTTTCCCTATTTTAGGTGAAACCGAGGCAGGAAGAGCCAAGTCTTCCACTGGCTTCTGAAGAAGAAAAGAGTACAACCAAACCCGAGGAAGCTGACCTAAAAGAGCTGAAAAAAGACAGTGCAGGTTTGTATATCCTCACTTTCAGCCAGAAATATGTATTGCAGGCTTCATTGCAGTGCTATGTGACAGGAGCTATAAACAAGAACTACCCAGGACTGCTGCCCTTGGTCCTCAGAAAGCTTTCAATTTAAGATGCATCTAATGTGGTCCAGGTTATTCCAGCTGAACTGCCAAATTAATACAACTGCCACTTGTCTGGGATTTAGGGAAAGGGTCATATCTGGATTCTGATTTTATCTGAATGAATTTCCAACCAGAGGGGTATTTTGTTTTGTTTGCACTTTTGTTTAATCCTCTCTGCAGCTGATGTACTTGCTGAGTTCCTCAATGAGCCAGGTATCAAAGTGCAGCCAGTGATTTCCCCTTCAGAGTTCTTCCCCAGACAAGAATAACAGAATTGGCCAAATATGTGTGTGTGTGTGTGCATATATAATCTTTTTAGTTGTCTTACACTAAGGAGAAAAAAAATCTTGTGTTAACAATGAGACCAGCTCCCATATCATGGGTAGAGAGGGCTTGGGCAGCTGCAGACAGATGTCTTTGGCAGCCTACACCTATCGAATCTCTAAACAACAAATACCACCAGAGTGAGAAATCTCTGTGTGTGTTTGCGTGTGTGTGGATGTGGATGTTGGCTCCAGCTGATGGCAAGCTAATTTCAAGCAATATTTGATCCAACAAAATTCCAGTTCCACAAATTAAGTTGAACAGTTATTTCACCTTTTTTGCCACAAAGGATTTCACATGTGGGTTCAAGGACAGGATATCCCTAAACACATTTTCCCATGGAAACTAACAAAACCACGAAACCATCCTTCACAAAAAGAAAGAAAGGTTAAATGAGGAATCTTTTGTCTTTTTTTCTGATTTATTTTTTAATAGTTGTCTTTTACACACAGAGGATAGAACTGCGTCAATATCCGTGGGGGCAGATACTTTGCTTGGTTTTCCCATTCACATAATGGGAGTGGTTTGGAGCACAACCAGCTATTCTCAGCATTATATGCTGCATATGAAACCACTAGGCAAAGCTAGGGATGCAGGGGATGGTGAGGGAGGAAAGGCAGCAAGGGGCCCTCCCACCTGGGGGTCAAACCGAGTTCCTTAGAAAAAGTACAGTGAGGAGAGGAGCAATCTGTATAGCTGCTACCTTGTGCTTGACCTGAAGCCTATAGACCGATAACAACTGTTAAGACATTCTAAGAGTTGCTTTGAATGTATTCAAAGAATTGCACTTTGCTTGTATGTTACATAGGATTGTTTTAGTACAAAAGGGTAGGAAAAAAGGGGGCCGGAATCCTATTTCCCAGGTAACTCCCATTGACACCTTTCTAAAAAGTAAAGCAATGCATGCACATGATATGAAATTTCAAACAGTTCCGATAAATATTAAGTAGAAAATAGAAATACTAATTAGAAAATAAAAATTTCCCTTCCCCCTGCCCTAGTCAGTTTCCTCAAAGGTAATCATTGTTACAAGTTCAAAATTTTCCTTTTGATGTGTCTCACACCTAATGGTGGACCAGACTGTTGATAAAATGGTAATGAGCCAATCCTGGAATCAGTTCATAGAATTGGGATTTCCCTTTGATTTAAAATTTTCCAACTGGGGAAGGCAAATAGTGACCAAATTGTTCTGTCTCCCAAATAGCTGCTTCTTTATACTAAGGACTTCAGTAGCAAATAGATAAACATTGGGCCAGGGCAGAATATCTTATTTTAGGAAATCAAAAGCACACATCTTTCTCCTTTCCTTGTTTCTATTTGGTACAGGACCCCTAAGTCAGGAACAGAGCGGCACTGAGATTTATGATGAGATGACAAAAGATCAGGCTGTAAACACTGATGATGTTGAGAATGTGGACTACATAAAGTTAGCAACACGTGGAAAAAGACGAAGAAGAATACCAATTGTTTCTGGACTGAGCAAGTGTAGCATCGAAGGAAGAGCCCTTAAGCAAACCAGTCGAGATTATGGCCTAGGCTATAGAACTGAGTCTTCACCTATCGATAAGACTGCCAGGGATTGGAATTTCATGTACCTGTCCTTGGAGAAGCAAGTCATGGAACAGCTCACAGCTTCACAAGCTGAAACCGCCACTCCTCAGGAGTTGCTTTCAGATGAAGATGACATGAGAAGGAGAAATGCTGACATAGATTACAAAGGGAGAAAAGCATCAGCACCACAAGCCATACCTGAAGACACGAAAGAGTCCGTGGTGAGTGGTCCACCACCATACCGTGAAGATGGGGCTTTTGGAGCCAAGAAGACAGAAGCCAGAGCTTCTGTTTTATCAATGACCCAAAAAGAGACCATTCTCTCACTGGCAGCAGAGTCTCAGGTGTTTATGGATCCTTCCCGTATTCAGTCAGAAGAGGAAGAAGCATCCAGCTTTGATTTGCAAAATGCCCAATTCAAAATGGAGTCAACCCGGGATGTCCCAAGTATCTGCAAAAAAAAGCCTCCTAGGAATGTTCTCCAGGCCTTTATAGCAAGTGTTTCAGGTGTGACAGCAGAGAGAGGAGGCATTTCTGCAGTGAGTCTGCCTCCCAGAAGCCTATCCCAGTGCTTGGGGAAGCCTGAAGCTGAAGAAGTCGTCTGCACAGGTTCAGAGAGTACTTCAGAGGAGGAGAGTGGTTCTGAGGAGAAGCTGACTCCTGGACACTCTTTACAGTCCTTGAGGGAGCCTGAAGAGGAGCAAGAAGTCTTCCCAGAATCACAAAGCTTAGTTGTAAAATTGGGCCGTTTTGAACAGCTGCTGGCTACTGGATACCCTTCCCTGTCCTTGGGGAAGCCTGAAGCTAGAGAAAATGTCTCCTCTCATTCAGAGAGCACTCCTGACAATGGGAGTGGTTCTGAGGAACTGGCTCCCAGTCACCCTTCCCAGTCCTCCGGGAAGCCTGAAGCTGAACAAATCTTAGAATCAAAAAGTTTCGGTGTGGAATTGAGCAGCTCTAAGGGGCAACTGACTCCCAAATGGCCTTCCCAGGCTTTACGGGAGCCTAAAGATGAAGAAGTCTACACGAAATCTGATAGTTATGCTGAAAAGTTCAGTAGTGTTATGCAGTTTTGGAGCAGCCTGCAGGAAGATCACCATCTCAGACACCCTACCCAGGCCTTGGGGAAGCCCCGAAACCAACAAGAAGTCTCCTCAGTTTCAAAGAACGCTCCTAAAGAGTGGAGTGTTTCTGAGGAGCAGCTGCCTCCTACACAGCCTTCTCAGCCCGTTGTGAGGCCTGTCGTTCGGCAGAAAGTCTCCTCCAGTTCAGTGAGTGCTTCTGCAAAACGGAGCCATTCTGTGGAGCCAGTGCCTCGCACACACCCTTCCCAGCTGTGGGAGAGCACTACATTTGAGCAAGAAGCCTCTGCAGGTCCAGAGAGTGCTACTGTTGATTGGGCCATTTCTATGGAGCCACTGCCACCCAGAATGTCTTCAAAGCACCCAGCGAGGCCTAAAGTTGAGCAAAAAGTCTCCTCAGGTTCAGAAATTGCAACTACAGAAGGGGTTGTTCCTATGGAGGCACTACCTCCCAGAAATCGTTCTCAGCCCCTGATGAGAGCAGTAGTCAAGGAAGAAGTCTCTGCAGTTACAGAGAGCCCTGCTGTTAAGGAGAGCATTTCTGTGGAGCCACTGCCACCCAGAATGTCTTCAAAGCACCCAGCGAGGCCTAAAATTGAGCAAAAAGTCTCCTCAGGTTCAGAAATTGCAACTACAGAAGGGGTTGTTTCTATGGAGGCACTACCTCCCAGAAATCGTTCTCAGCCCCTGATGAGAGCAGTAGTCAAGGAAGAAGTTTCTGAAGGTCCAGAGAGCACTGCTTTTGATTGGGCCATTTCTATGGAGCCACTGCCACCCAGAATGTCTTCAAAGCAACCAGGGAGGCCTAAAGTTGAGCAAAAAGTCTCCTCAGGTTCAGAAATTGCAACTACAGAAGGGGTTGTTCCTATGGAGGCACTACCTCCCAGAAATCGTTCTCAGCCCCTGATGAGAGCAGTAGTCAAGGAAGAAGTCTCTGCAGTTACAGAGAGCCCTGCTGTTAAGGAGAGCATTTCTGTGGAGCCACTGCCACCCAGAATGTCTTCAAAGCACCCAGCGAGGCCTAAAGTTGAGCAAAAAGTCTCCTCAGGTTCAGAAATTGCAACTACAGAAGGGGTTGTTCCTATGGAGGCACTACCTCCCAGAAATCGTTCTCAGCCCCTGATGAGAGCAGTAGTCAAGGAAGAAGTCTCTGCAGGTCCAGAGAGCGCTGCTGTTAAGGGGAGCATTTCTGTGGAGCCACTGCCACCCAGAATGTCCTCAAAACAACCAGCAAGGCCTAAAGTTGAGCAAAAAGTCTCAGGTTCAGAAATTGCAACTACAGAAGGGGTTGTTCCTATGGAGGCACTACCTCCCAGAAATCGTTCTCAGCCCCTGATGAGAGCAGTAGTCAAGGAAGAAGTCTCTGCAGGTACAGAGAGCGCTGCTGTTAAGGGGAGCATTTCTGTGGAGCAAAGTCCTACCACACACCCTTTCCAGCCACGGATGAGCCCTGCATTTGAGCAACAAGTCTCTGCAGAGAGTGTTGCCTTTGAGAGGGACATTTCTGTGGAGCTGCTGCTTCTCAGACATCCTTCCTGGTCCATTGTAAAACGTGAAGTCCAGAAAATATCGTCCAATTTGGAGAGTCCTGCTGTTGAATGGGGCGTTTCTGAGAGTCCACTACCTCCCAAATATCCTACCCAGTTCTCAGTGAGGTCTAAAGTTCAGGAAATTTCTGCACATCTAGAGAACATGGCTGTTGAAAAAAGCATTCCTAAGAAATCGCTGCATCCCAGTCCTTCCCAGTCATTCGTGAAGTTTATGGCACAGCACGTCTTTTCAAAGAGCCCTGCTACTGAGGGGGGTCTTTATGTGGATCCTCTGCCTCCAGATCATCCTTTCAAATCTTTGTTGTGGCCTGAAGCTGAGCCCCAAATTATCTCAGATGAGGAGAGAGCTGACCCTGAGAGAGGCGTTTCTTTGAAGATGCTGCCTATGAAACACACTTTACAGTCCTTGGGGAGGCCCAAAGACCCGCAAGAAGTTTTCTCATATTCAGAGAGTGATCCCGTGAAAGAGAGCAGTTCTAAAGAGCAGCTGCCTCCCAAACAGCTTTCCCAAGCCTTGAGGAAGCTGGAGTACCAGCAAGAAGTCTCAGTTTCTGACAGATCTCCTGAAGAGAGGAAGAGCTCTGAAGAGCGGCTGCCTTCCAGACGCCAGTTTCAAGCCTTGGGTAGGTCTGAATTCCAGTCACAGATCTTCTCAACAGGCTCGGCAAATGTACCTACAGAGTGGAGCAGTCCTAAGGTGCACCTGCCTGCCAGTCATGCTTTCCAGGCTTTTGGAGACCCTGAATATCAGCAACAGGGTTATTCAAGTTCCGTGAGTGCTGCTGCTGAGGGAACCATTTCTGAGAGCAATTCTGGCAGCCAGTCCCTACCAGAAGGCCCACGTTCTCCATACAAAACCAAGAAACACAGCCAAGTCTCCAAAGACCTTCCTAAGAACATCACTACCCCTGCTACCAAACCTGGGAAGCTCACCATTGCTCCTGCCTGGGGCGTTTCTGAGAGCACTTCCTCTGCGAAGGAAGTTCTTGAGAGTGGTGATGGAGATAACAGCCGCTCAGCCTCACCCACCATGCAGGCTGATATTGAAAACTGTTTTGGAATTCAACTGAGAAAAACCCCTTCCTTGCAGAAGCGTAAGATTGAGAAACACTTCACCCACTTTCCTTCACTGACCTTGCGCCCAATTTCATCCTCCGCGAGTAGAGAAAAGCAAGTCAGAGGAAAAGTTTCCCAGAGCCTCATGGACACCATAGACAAGCTCACCACAGCATCTAAGTTTGCAGAGAAGCCACAGAGCAGGCCCAAATCTGAACACATGGCCAAGAAGCAGCCTGCTTACAAGACCCCAGGTGAGACTTTTATCTCTCCAGATGGCAAGTAGGTACTAAGTGGAGGGAAGAGCGGAAAGCAAATCCTGGAAAGGGCCTTGAAGTCTATTCTAGCCTTGCCTACTGAGTTGTTGCATTGACAGGGCTGGCTTGTGGATTTGGGGGCAGGATAGTGCCCCCATTCTAGGTTAATAGACTTGGAGGTAGCTAATTTCGAGTCTTCCCTTTCCCAAGGGGGTCTCCCCTTTGGACATCCATACACATTTTGTAATGGACACATGACCTCTCACCCACCCGCGGTACACATTACATTGGATGGAATTTTATGCTTTTCTCAAAATGCTTTCACATATATTATGCCCGTCCCCAACACTGTGGATTTTTAAAGCCAACTCATTCATAGAGCACTATGTTCAGACTCATAGCCTGAAACCTTAATTTACTGTAAATGCTTGTACTTCTACGGTACAGCTTCTTCACTCACCTGAAATGTCTAAGAATCCAGAGCTAGGTGACCATTTGAGCACTAATCTCTCCCCAAACCTTTGCCCTTTCACACGCACTGTCACATAGTCTTGTATATACCTGTAATCATACCTATGTAACCGTATACTTGCATGAGGGACTATGAATTAAATACTATAAGATTTTCCTTGGAGTTAGGGGAATGACATCAATGGCCTGAGCCTCCCAGAAATTTTCCCAGTCCACCTGGCAACCATTGCCCTACCCTGCTTTGGAGATGGGAAGAGGGATGGACAAGAAAAGGAAAGAGTCCAGTAAGGGGACAGTATGCCCACTTTTAAGTACAGCTTCTAAACTACCCAAGGAACCCCTGCCTTGCCAGGTTGTAGGGAGGGCACAAAAGAAGGGAACCCCTCTCTGCCTGATATCTGTTTATGTTCATATGGCAATTAGCAAGGATCCCATTTGGGGCATATTGTGGGTAAGCCCTAGCCAGGCTTAAGCCCCTGCCTGCCTTGCTTTAGTTCTAACTCCTTTCATTCCTTTCTCAGGAAAGCCTTCTGGTCAACAGCTGGATTATGCCATCTCAGAGCCAGATTGGACAACCACAGTAAAGCAGAGGAAGAGGGATTTCGAGGCCCGCATTCCCAAAAAAGAGCTGAAATTCAAGAGCAGAGCTGGAGCCAAGGCCGTGACTAAGGAGCCTAGATATAGGGTAGGACCTGGGGCAGCCCGGAAAACACTCCAAAAGGTTGCTGGAGCCACTGATTACACTTCCTTTGGGAACTTTGCCAGACATGCAGCTCCCTCCCCTCTTTGGGAGCATTAATCAAGGCAGGAGGACTCTGGTGGGGGTGGGGGGAGACTTGCTCTGTATTTATACAAACATGCCCTGCTTTATGCCCTTAGAGGGTTTGTGAAAAGTAATGAATATGGGGAGAGTCTATAAATCGAATCCTGTTTTAAATATTTGAGAACAGGGTTCCATGAAATTGTTTCAGAAATAAGGAGTAAGTCATAAAAAATAAATAAATAAACCAAAGGTGACCACTGGGGTAAGAGTTGAGTGATTATCCTTACAGATATTTAATGCCTATAAATATGTAAATTTATTTTTATAAATGGAATCAAACTGTAAGTACTATTTTTTCATTTAACATTTCATTTCTGAGTACCTTTCCATTATCGGTACATAACAATTTATCTTTATGAGTTTGGTGTTTGCACCTCGATGTATTGATTTGGTTTGGTGTGGCACTTACTTGTAGGTTACAAAAAAAAATTTTATGTGATGAACTAGGTTAATGGTACCGCATGTGGATCAGGGATGGTGGGATAATGTCTTGTCCCCCTCTTGTCAGAACTACAGAAAGCTGACTCAAGAAAACATCAAATTTACATATCAAGAGATATGTTTAAGTTCCTATATTTTCCTATATTTTTAAGTGCTTACTAAATTTGTTGAGGTACCATGTGAGAAACTGTTTCACTCTTTGCTTTAAGGATCTTTTCTTTTTCATCATTAGTATTTATATGGGAGCAGGACTGTAGAGGGGTAAAGTCAACCTTGGTTAAAGCTTTTGTCAGGGGAAAATACACTAATGTATATAAACTCATTAATTTAGACCAGTTGTGGAGAGGTTAATTCAAAAACCCCCAACTAAAATTTTGGAAGGACTTACAGTTATATCACTTTCTAATGCAAGGAGTGCTTCAAGTCATATGTTAGCAAGTGTTGCAAAGTAGAAATCTTATGGAACTCACTTCAATGAATTGGTCATTTTTTTTGTGTGATCACCACATTCTTTTAACTTGCTGTTAAGTGCTGGTAAAGTGCTACAGATAAGGTTGTTCTTAAGTTAAATAATTCTCATGTCGCCCTTTTTACACTATTTATATAATTAGGCAACCTTTTCTTCCAGATCTGAAAGGTGGCAAACTTGAGCCATCTTTTGTTTTGTGAACCTAAATTCCAAACCAAGGGGCTCAGTGCTACTTCCTTCCTATATGTATACCTATATCTATATCTATATCTATATCTATATCTGTGTCTGTGTCTATATCTATGTCTATATGCTTCCTTTTGATTACTGTTGAACTCATAGTACCCAGGACAGGGCTTGTGCCCTGTGGTCTTCTGAATAAGTAATTTGCTGTTTTCATGTCAGGACTTAACAAGCTTTCTGTTTGCATTTTTGTATTAAAGGGAGCTGGCACTGCAAACGAAAACCAACAAAGAAACATTATCATTTCTGATGTCCGTAGACCGGAAAAGAAGCAGATGAAGCCACCTGCATCTACCAAATCAGGTAGAATCATACACCCCAACCCCCCAAAACACAGGCAGAATATTGTGAAACTTTTGCAAATTCAAGCTCGGACAAAATATGTCTCTTACTTCCCAAATCAGCTTTATGATTCTCTCATGGCTCTTCCGTTAGACACAGATATTAGCTTGGTTTAGGAAAATCCAATTATTATGACCACTATAAATAAGTCCAGTGTGTAACTTTCAGAGGGTCATCCAGTCTTTCACCTCGCTGAAGCAGCTGTCTAAGCACAAAACTGTGGTCACTCACTGAAACATTCTTGTGTCTGGGTATGCAAGAGGAAAGTACCAAGTCACTTTCCAGATCATAGCAAAGCAGTGTTTTATCACTTTCTACATCCCCAATGAAACTATTGAAAATAATCCACTATAATGTCCTAATACTATTGAATTGTGTTTAATTATTTAAAAGACTTCTTTCAGCCCTCTGTATTCTGAGCAGAGATGTGGGAGGTAGAGAAATATTAACAGTTAAAAAAACACTGTGCTGGGATGGAATAGAATGTGATCTCATCAGTAAGAGTTGTGTGCCAGAGGGATTTTTTTCAGCAGGAGCAGAGGGGAGAGGAGGAGGAATTTATATTGGACTCTCTTTGTCCTCTCCCTTAATTCACCTCATGAAAAAATTAGACTAGGAATTCAGGAACCCATTGTCTGGCCACGAAATAGCAGTTGACCTGCTCACAGCCATTAATGGTCTCACGGGTACTATGGTTCTCAACTCTCACTGTGCATTAGAATCATCTGGTGAGATTTTTTAAAAATTGTAAATGGCCCTGGCTCTTTTGCTAGAGATTCTAATTCAGTTCGTTTAGGAAATGGTGTGGGCATTGGTATTTTTAAAAGAGCCCTAGGTGATTCTAATATGTTGCCAGGGTTGAGAACCCTGGTTGAGTCTAAGCCACTAAGTCAGTTAACCACAAAGCAGGATGAGGGAGAGAGTAGAATTGGGGAATAGGGAGGTTGTCTGCTTGGCCAGGGTAGTTGGTACAAAATTGTTTAGCATTGACTTTTACTGGGTGGATCTATTGAGTCATCAGTCACTTCATTTCACATGACATTGTGAATTGGCAAAACAAAAATAGCATTACCTTATTTGAAATTTTAAAAACTGGACAGATACAATATGTTTCCCCTCTGGTCTCAGTTCAAAAGAATAAGACAATCCAATAATAGCCACCCAAAGATTGGCAGTTATAGCTCTAAATATTATCTCTTAGGTCTTCCCATATCCAGGCTCCTGTGGTCATAGCCATGTTGATTTCACCCCTTTGACATGCCACCTATCGCACTGCCCATGAACTGACTTTTAGAAACCTGGCAACAAAGGGAGCAGGAGTTGGAAAGCACTAAGAGCAGGGGTATCAGAGAAAACCTGAAGGAGGGGACATTTTATTGCATCCCATAAACAACATACCCCAATATCCTGAGGATTCATATTGCTTGTGTGTTATTTGCTGTGGTTGCAGTTACATTTTATGATCAGAAGATACATCAAGTGCCTGACGTGGAAAAAGAAACCAAACGATCTTCAACTCTCCCAGCTGTGCTCCAACAGCCAGTTGAGCCGGCTGAGCCTGTCTGGTTCTCCGTGGCCAAGAAGAAAGCTGAAGCATGGAGCCACATAACAGAGAGCATGATGGAGAATTAGCATTTTAGATAATAATTGCCAGTAGCTGTATTAATTCTATGTAGGGATTTCTTTACCGTGACTATTTTTTATTAAGCAAAAGAGCCTTAGAAATGGGAATTAAAGCTTATAATTATCTGAATGAAATAAATGCCATGAATGCCTAACATTCAGTACAGTCACTGCCAGCATCTGGAAAACCAGCATTTCCTATGTAAAAACCATAGAAAATGTTTGCACTGCTGTAGAATTGTGAAATCTTTATCTTTGGACAATGTGCTTTAGAAGGGAAAAAGCAAAAACTTTTATCAGAGCAACTAAAAGGTTGTCATTTCCTTTGACCAAATAAAATAATTCTAATGGGACCGTCCAGATGATTTGGCCAAATAACTGGCTTTTAGGTTTTATGAGCCTAAATAAATGCTTCAATTACTTGGTTGCTGCTCCAAGCTTTACAAGGGCTCCTAGAAGAGGTGGTGGAAGTGAAGATTCTGGGTCTCCAAGAAAAATTTTGCACAGCCAGTGCCCCAATCAGCCCACTACTCCTTGAAACACCTTCCTTGTATCTCTGAGGTCCCCCAGTGCCGGCCACTTGGGTGACAGTCACACACAGATCACTTGTACAGAGCTCCTTCTTTGCACATGTTCCATGTCAATTTGTCACAGGCCTGGCAGCAGTGAGCACCTGCCTGTGATGTAGAATGCCTCTTGGGGATTATCCTACTCCTCTGGATGGTTAGTCCATCAGTGTTTGGCCTCTTGTCACAGTACCACTGTGACCTCAGTTGCCCAGAAACATAAATGTGCCTCTTATTATACATATTCTGTTGTTTAAGCACTTAAGACCCCATTGAAATTCAGTGTTCTACAGAAGCCAAGAGCTGTACTTCCCATCAGGCAGATGGCAAGCTCATGGTCTTGACGCCAGTTCCTTCCCCTCTGGCTCCAGCCTTCAGGTGGAGAACTTCATGGAACCCAGTTTCTGGTCCCTTCCCCTCAGCAGCCTCTGCTTCCCAAATCTTTAGTCTAAAGCTAGACTGGAAGCTCAAAGCCACAGAACAATGAACTTTCTGCTATCTAGAAGCCTTATGTGATTAAATCAGCCTCTCCCTGCCCTCATTACTAGGGGCGCATGCCTCAGAAGTTACTAGGCTGGACAGTCCCCACCTCCCCAGTGGCCCACTTACCCCCAACCATGGGGAAGAGGGAAGGCCAAAAAGAGAGATTAGGAGAAGAGGAGTGAGGATGAGAAACATGGTCAGTTGTGAGAGGCGGGCAGCCCAGCAAATTTTGACTCTGCCCTTCCCATCCTGCCATGCAGTCTTTTTCTTTTGCAGCACTGCCTCCATTAAAAACTCCCAGGTCAAGGAGTGAATACATAGCACCTTTACTCACAGAGTCAGTCCCTTAGTTGGCTGGCTTTCTGAGGTGCAGACCACTCTAGAGTCTCATCTAGTTTAACCCCTTCCTTTCCATGTTTTTCTCCTTTATTCCATCTCCCAAATCCACCAAACCCTAAGGGAGAGCTCCGTTTGGATGCCTTGACAGTAAACCTCATTTTCCTAGGAGACCCAGAAATGACTTCTCACTGTAGTTATCACTGTGCCTGCTTCTGTCACTTTGGGGATACTTTGCTTAGATGGAAATGCGGGCCTGGACATCTAACTGTGCCTTTAAATTCTGAGTGGGTTGCTGCCCCATGAAAAGAGTTCAGAGGCAGTGAGGTGCCAGAGCTAATTTAGAAACTTGGTGCTGGATTTTGCTGATGATGGTATAATGTGTTACTGTACAACCACATGCTGGATTTTGCATTTTCTCTATAAAACATCTACTTTTCCTGATACTATATCATTGCCTTTTTGATAATGCTAGGTTTTCAATTGATTTGATTATTTCTTTTGCATTCCCATAGTGAGCAGTTCGTCTAGGTAGATGCCCTTTACCCAGGTAATCCTGGTAGATTAGCTGTTACACCTTCCTCCCCCCTTTTCTCAGAGTGGATCTCTATTATGTTATTCTCACTCAGAACTCTCCATTAACAATTTCTTTTCCATAGTTAACAACAAAGCTCTGTTTTTAAATGAAGAGGTTAAGTTTTTTTTAATGCCCAGAGCACATTCTGATAAGTTTCCACCTTCTTTTAGCTTTCCTAATTTTTTGATATATGCAAAGCAAATAAATTCAATAAAGCCTGCTCAGTAGTCCTAAGCAAATAAATTCAATAAAGCCTGCTCAGTAGTCCTAAGCAAATAAATTCAATAAAGCCTGCTCAGTAGTCCTAAGCAAATAAATTCAATAAAGCCTGCTCAGCAGTCCTTCTCGGTGTGTCTGTGACATGGGGAGGGGAATCAAATAGGACATCGACAACTCAGACCTGAAGGTTGTCAGAGAAGCAAAATGTTCTTAAGAGCTTGTGCTGCGCATAAAGAACCTCCATTCAAGTGTGCATGACCAAGCCGATAGCCTCCAGATGGGCTTTGGTATGGTGGAGAAGTGCTATGGAAGAGGTTTTGGGTATGAACACCTGGGAGCAAGGAGAGAGATGGGTGGAGGGGGGTGTGGTTGGGGGTGAGTAGAAGGGACGAGGTGGTTGGTGGTTGGGCTCCAGCCTGGCTCAAGGAATAGGGGCAAGTCCTATGGCAAGATGGGCTACTGGAAGAAACCCTTTTCAAAAGCAAAGGGCACCACTGTGCTCAGGTAACAGAGTGTGACACGGAGTGAGGAAGAGAGAGGAGCTATAGACCAGATATTTAGCCTGGCCCTCCTGTAGCATTTGTAACACTTGCAGGCTTCATCATATGTCTAAATATTTGAAATGTTTAAATCAACTAATACATGTTTTACTTACTGGTTTATCTCCTTCCATGACAAATATACCTTCATGATGACCTGAAAGGCCAGGTTGGAATTCAGAATTCTCAGACTCCTCTAAGACCCACCGCGATGATGTGGGAAGAGCTGCCCTCCGCCCCCCTCCCCCTGGCTTTTAGACCAGGCCCCATACCCTGTTCTAGGCCTACAAGCACCCCTTAGGCCTGGGAGCACATATCCTAGCAGGGCAGTCAACCCTCCCAAGGACGGCCCTCTCAAAGACAGCGTTAAAAGGAGCACATAGGCCCTGGCAGCAGGCTTGGGATTGTCCAGGGGTCCCAGGTAACTAGAGCATGGTTTAGCAGGGAGAGGTACCCCTTATTCCCACAGGCTCCTGGCCCTATAGGGAGGGGTGTGGCTGGAAGGGGGCCAAAGTGGGACCTTTATAGCATGGAGCTCAGGACAGAGGTTCTTCTTACCTGGGTCTAAGAGCAGTTCTATATTAACAACTTATACAACATAAACACTAACAAATCAGAACCAGTTTGAAGCCCCTCAAATCACACTATATGGAAAACTGTCTATTGGCTTGCCCTTTTAGTTTGAGTAATGGTGGAAAGGGGCCCTGTACCTCTGTCTCACTATTTGGTTCTAGCCATAAGGAATACTATGTGATACTATATTTTAAAACATCAACATTGGAAACCAAAAAAAAATAAAAAGTGTGGAAGTGTTACGTTTTCTTCACTTTAACAGACATTGAGCACTTACTAAGTGGAAAATTCAGTGCCTATGGCTTTGGAAAAGGAAAATTATACAGCCCTTTAATATTCCAACCATTCAGAAGTTCACAACTCAGGGGATGGTGGTGGGGGGAGTAGATACCCATATATATAAATAATGCACAAAAAAATACTTGGATACAAGTTCATAGCAGCACTACTCAAATGGCCCAAAGGTGGAACCAACCCAAATGTTCAACAGAAAAATGGATAAACAAATTTTGGTATACCCATACAGTAGAATATTATTCGGCCATAAAAGGGAATGAAGTATAGATACATGCTACAGTGTAGATGAGCCTCAAAAACATTATGATAAGTGAGGAAGCCAGACACAAATTGTGTTTATATAAAATGTCCACAATAGGTAAATCCATAGAGATGGAAAGCAGATTGGTGATCACCAGGGGCTGGGGTCGGGGGTCGGGCTAAGGCTCACACTTACGTTTTCTTCAAATACTGGGTCACAAACCCCTCACAAGCCAGGCTCGGTCACCAGACCTCTCACGTGCCAAGCTGGCTGGGTCACAGACCCCTCCTGTGCCAAGCTGGCTGGGTCACAGACCCCCCCACATATGCCAGGATGCGTCACAGACCCTTCACATGCAGGTTGCGAGCTAGGTAATTGGGAAAGATCCCAATAGTTGTTGACAGAGTTGACAGGTTCATTCCAAAGCGAGCTCAGCCCTCAGCTTCCTCAGCAGCAGCAGCAGCAGCAGCTTACGGCAGCCTCCAGCAGCAGTAGCAGTCTCCCTGTGATCCCCCTGGGGACATCCTGGGGGGTGGGGGGCACTATGGATCAGAGCCACTCATCCTTTATACTTAAGTCCAATAACCCAGGACACCTGGGTGTGAGTCAGACAACCCAGGAACACCTGGGTGCACTTGCACAGTTATTTACATCAAATGCTCAGCAAGATTCTGAACATCTAAGGGACCCTGACCATTTACCCTCACTTTCATTTTCCCTACAGGGGGCAATGGATACAGGGTTTGGGGGTGATGAAATGTTTTGGAACTAAATAGAAGTGGTGGTTGCACAAAACTGTGAATGTACTAAATGTAACTGAAATACTCACTTTAGAATGGCGAATTTCACCTCAATTTAAAAACATAACATTAGTATAAGTTAGAATACAAGATGTACTACCATGGAATATGAGAGAAGGTATCAGTGCTACCAAGAGAGCACATAAGAAGCCTTCACTGAAAGCGGAAATGAGGCTGTCTAAGCTCAAACCCCTGTACCCTCTCCCTTCTCTGATCCTCTACTCTGATTAAATATAACTTCACCTTTTGTCCCCCCTTAAACAGAGTCTAGAGATTAAGCCCATTCTCTCCCTTTCCTCTTTTTATTGCTCTCATTTTATATTAGAAAATATTTCAGACTTACAAAAAGATATAGGAAATACTACTATAAACATCCATGTATCCACTACCCAACTTAAGAAATGTAACATTACAAATGCAGTTGACACCCACCGTGGAGCCATCCGCAATAGAATCTCCCTTGTTTTCTTTCCCCAAGAGGTAACTCCTAAATGAGGGGTTTGTCTTTCCCAGCTGTCAAGCTAGGGCTTAGGGTTCACAAACCCTTCAAGCCCGTTGTACAGACTAGGTCACAAACCCCTCACACGCAGGTCCACGAGCTAGGTGATAGGAAAAAATCTTGGGAGCCATGGGTAAAAAATTAATAGGCTTTATTCAGAGCTAGGAGCAGCCACCCTAATCACCTCCTGGAGCATTCCGAGAAGCAGCGTGTATCAGATCTGTTCGTCCTTTATACTTAAGTCCATAACCCAGGACACCTGGGTGCCCATACAAAATTACATTAGATAATAACCAAGAAACACCTGGGTACACATGGCTACTTACAGCAAATGCTTGGCAAGATTCTGAACATCTGAGGGGCCTGACCATTTTACTATATTTTCCCTACACCAACCATGCCTGTACACATGCTACATTTGTATGCATCTCTCATATGCATGCTTTTCACTCCAGATATCTGTATCCATAAGCAATAATGGTGATCATTTTGCATGTTTTTTAGATTTCATATACATGTTATGTTTGTATCCTTCTGGAACCACCTTTTTCTCATATGCATTTTTCTGCTGCCATCAGGCAGTCTTTGTCCCTCCGTGTCTCAACCCCTGTGAGTTCTAGTCTCCTCTTCATTTTTTTAAATTAATTTATTTTTATTAAAATTTTATTTTGTTGATATACAATGTGGTTGATTATTGTGGCCCATTACCGAAACCTCCCTCCCTCCTCCCTCTTCCCCTTCCCACCCAACAATGTCCTTTCTGTTTGCTTGTTGTATCAACTTCAAGGAATTGTAGTTGTTATGTCTTCTTCGCCTCGCCAGGTTTTTTTTTTTTTGTGTGTGTGTGTGTGTGAATTTATTTATTTATTTTTAGTTCCCACCAATAAGTGAGAAGAAGTGGTATTTCTCTTTCTGTGCCTGATTTGTTTCACTTAATATAATTCTCTCACGGTCCATACATGTTGTTGCAAATGGCAGTATTTCATTCTTTTTTATACCTGAGTAGTATTCCATTGTGTAGATATACCACAATTTCCATATCCACTCATCCGATGATGGACATTTGGGCTGGTTCCAACTCTTGGCTATTGTAAAGAGTGTTGCAATGAACACTGGGGAATGGGTATACCTTCGACTTGATGATTTCCATTCCTCTGGGTATATTCCCAGCAGTGGGATAGCTGGGTCATATGGTAGATCTATCTGCATTTATCGTTCAGAGTCTTTTGGATTTTTGCCATCCTAACTAGGGTGAGAGGGCATCTCAGTGTAGTTTTGATTTGCATTTCCCGGATGCTGAGTGATGTTGAGCATTTTTTCATATGTCTGTTGGCCATTTGTATATCTTCCTTAGAGAAATGCCTACATAGCTCTTTAGCCCATTTTTTAATTGGGTTGCTTGTTTTTTCTTGTAAAGTTGTTTGAGTTCCTTGTATATTCTGGATATTAATCCTTTGTCAGATGTATATTTTGCAAATATTTTCTCCCACTCTGTTGGTTGTCTTTTAGCTCTGTTAATTGTTTCTTTTGCTGTGCAGAAGCTCTTTAGTTTGATATAATCTCATTTGTTTATTTTTCCTTTGGTTGCCCATGCTTTTGGGGTCGTATTCATGAAGTCCGTGTCCAGTCAAATTTCCTGAAGTATTTCTCCTATGTTTTCTTTAAGAAGTTTTATTGTTTCAGGGTATATATTTAATTCTTTAATCCATTTTGAGTTGACTTTAGTGTATGGTGAAAGGTATGGGTCTAGTTTCATTCTCCTGCATAGTGTTATCCAGTTCTCCCACCACCATTTGCTAAAGAGGCAGTCTCTTCCCTGATGTATAGGCTTGGTGCCTTTGTCAAAGATCAGATGGCTGTAGGTGTGTGGATTGATTTCTGGATTCTCTATTCTATTCCATTGATCAGTGTGTCTGTTTTTATGCCAGTACCATGCTGTTTTGGTTATTATAGCTTTGTAGTATAGTTTAAAGTCAGGTAGTGTTATGCCTCCAGCTTTATTTTTTTCACTCAGCCTGCAAACAGGGACAGTTTGACTTCATCTCTTCCAATCTGGATGCCCTTTATTTCCTTCTCTTCTCTGATTGCTCTGGCTAGTA